TKGGTTGTTACCAACATCTGGTGAAAATTTCATGTCATTAGCACCTCTAGTAATATATTTATTGAGAAAAATGGTGACGTGTTCAATACTTATTTACCCGCTGTATATTTCAGATATCATGTCAATTAAATTATGACCAGACATATAATTTAAATTTAATTAATTTTTTATATTTTTACATTTTTCATTTGTTATATTTACACAACTGTGATACCATCACCAAGTTTTATTAAATTAATACAGGTCTATGTGTTTATAATAAAAACATTTTTTTATTAAAAGTAACCAATAATTTCACTTTGTTGGAATTTAAGCATGGAAAAACATTTTTTGGCATCTATTGTGGCTTTAAAGCTGTAAAAAACAAACAAAAAAAAGAAATCAACATTACTAAAAAACAAACAACACATTCTTTAAAAAAATAACATTCATGAAGCTTGGTTATGTTCACTTTAAAATACAGATGTTAATAAAAAAAGAAGATACTTTATTTAGATTTTTATGGCATATTGTTATTAATCATACAGCCCTAATAAAAACAAACAGCTCCCTCATTAACCCAGATGTAAAAACAAAAATAAAAACGGCAGTCATAATCAAAATTAACACAAACACATTCAACTCTGTGAAGACAATTTCAGGAAGCTACTGTGATAAAAACGAAAGTGGAGCCATTCAGTGTGATAAATGTGGTTTCTGATCAGTTGAAGGTGTTAAGGCGTCAGACTGGGTTTAGACTTCCTCCAACAGAGCTTTGATCTGTTCTGAGTCACAGCAGCTCTGAATGACAGAAATCAGAACGAGAACAGAAACTGGGTCAACACCATGCAAGACAAACATCAGATCTCAGGACAGACACGTTGATGGTTTTTTAGGTGAAACAGATTTCTACAGTAAAGAACAGTTTCCTGTAAAGAACACCTTGTTTTGTTCTTCGTCAGAGCTCTTCAGAGCTTTGATCCCCAAGACGACAGAGCTGATGACCACGCAGAGCTCCAGGACGGACAGAACAATCAGCACAGCCCAGAGGCTCCTCACCAGCATCTGTCAGGATAAAAACAACGCTTAGACCTTTAACTTGGTTTGGTTTCATACATCAGGTTGTCTAAAAGCTTCCTACAACCTGTTGGTTGCAGTTCACAGCTTGGCCCACCAGGTGGCACATCCAACTCTAACAGGATGTTAAATATCTGGCAGCTTTCATGCACCAACATTAAATAATTACTCAGCTAAGATAATTTAATTCAAGGCTTAGTTTGAGTCAACAGATTCAATCACACAGAAATACATTTTTAAATGTTAGAAGATGATAGAAAACCTGAAGATAAATGCTAATTAATGGGAGTTTTAACAGGTTCTCTAAAGGAACTGAGGAGTTCAGACTGCTGGAATCTTACCAGAATCAGGTTTTTGCTCCGCAAGCAGGTATTCTGGTAGTACTCCTCTCCAGGAGATGGCCTTTGTGTTACAGAAGACCAGTAGCGACGCTGATCACAGTCAGACCACCATATGTTTACTTGTGCTATACCCACAATGTAGAGAACAACGGCGGTGATGGCAAAGGCCACTCCTGCCAAATTCAGAACCACGTTCAGGATGACCTGAAGGATAAAACTTGTCACTTTATGTACAAACAAACAAAACAAGAAAAATAAACAAGTTTTACAGTAAAATTTAAAAGAGGATGTTATGAAGTTTAACTCACCAAACATGGACTGGGATACTTCTCAGACAAAATGGACACGATGCCAAACAGAATGAACTAAACCGAGAGACAAAAACAAAATGTTTCATTATTTAACAAAAACTAGATCTATATAAAATTTCTGAACTAGTTTGGAAACTAAAGAAGCTGCTGCCCTGTGATGTTGATAGATATTCAACAAACGGTCCTTTTGTAAATATCTTTTGCCGTCACAAAGCTGCTAATATTCCAAACTGTCTGATTATACTTGCAAAAACATAAAAATCAGCATTTTTTATTTACCTCTAATTAAGCTATAGAAGTTTGCCTCTGTCAAACAGACAATCTTTGATAAAACTGACAAAATGTTAAAGAGGACATATCCAGTAAAATACACTTTTTTAGCTGTTAAATGTATTTTTTTTGTACTTGGAGTCTGTAGGAGGCAGAACAGTTGAATTCAGTCTCTCCTGGTGCTGCAGAGATATCTTTTTGTTCTGTTTGTGTCAGATTTCTCAACACGTTCCATTTTCTCTATTTTCTCTGATGTTTTCTGAAATGTTACGCCAAATTATTTGTGACAGAACTGCCATATAAGGTCTGGACTTAAAATATTAAAAACCTTGCAGTTTTTTTGTCCTCAGAATATGTTTTTTTGAAGATCTTCAGCTACTACCACACCAAATATTTGGTTAATATCTGTAAAACTGTCTGAGTCACGATGTATTCATTTCTTAAATGTTATCTTGATTCATATTCACTCTAAAAATACTGGAGTGAGTTTTATTAAAATCCATCCAATGGTTCATGGGATATTTTGCTAACAGACACACATAAATATACAAACTGTACACTGAAAAAAAGGATTTTTGGGTGTAGTAACATTTATTTAATTATTCTTTTAAGTTTTACAGAAAAACATCAAAATTTCTAAACTACTAGAATTTACTAAATAAACAATACACATTATATTATATATCAATATTACTGTACAAAAAAGTAAATGCTAATATTATTTTACCAGTAATATTTAAGTGTTTTTTTCTGGACAGCACATAAACATGAATATATGAAGTAACTTCTACTCTTCTGGACTAAAACTAAAACTGAGGCTGCATGCACACACAAAGGCTGCTGCTCCTCATTCCCTTGCTTCACTTTTCAAGGAGAGGACAAGACATGGTGGAAATAAAACATAAGTTGTCTGGTTTCTTTTGCTTGAATACATTTGTTGGTGTGCAACAGTTTGATGACATAATGTAGGTGATATTTAGTTGTCAGGGAACAGGGAATGCATATTGTAGCATTCTGCTGTGTTTGGCTGTTTGTCATGTGACTGCAGTGGAGGATTGTGGGTAGGATTCATGTTTGTTGTTGTTAAATCATTTTAGGGAATTGGTTAACATTGTTCTTTCAGCAATTAGTGTGTTGTGTTCCTCTGATTTGTGTGTTCATTATTTGTTAACTTGTGTTAAAGCGTTCAGCAGAAGTAACCATAAGACAGAGTGGTAGGCCTAGTTATTAATAAGACCTGTGAGTTTCACTTTGTCTGTGTTGTTCATGAAGAAGAATCCAATAAAGGTTCTTCAAAACTGCCACCTGGTGGTGAATTATTGAACTACAACAAGAGCTACACCTCTCTCTGTAGCTGTGAGGTGTCATGCTACAATATTGTACTTGATGCATGTGCACTGTTATAAAGAACTTGTTAGATTTACTAGAAAAAAGTCATTGTAACAATTTGTACTAATGTTTGTTAAGTAAATTTAAATGCTACAAATTCATGTAATATTTACTCATCATTATCTAGTAAAAGTTATTAAGAATATAGTTAAAGATTTGTGAATAAATCAGGTAAATTTAACTTAATTTGATCAAGTATATGTTACTAGATTTAATTGAGCGAAGTAAAATTCACCTGATTTATTCACAAATCTTTAACTATATTCTTAATAACTTTTATTAGATAATGATGAGTAAATATTACATGAATTTGTAGCATTTAAATTTACTTAACAAACGTTAGTGCAAATCGTTTACAGGATTTCTCTAGTAAATCGTACAAGTTATTTTTTACAGTGTAGATGATGAGATACACAAACCCTTCTCTTGTTTTTATCCACTTTTTATGAGTTTTATGTTGTTTGTGGTTGCTTACCATCGATCCCAGCCAAAAAGGAAACCCATTTCTTTCAAAGACATAAGTTTGACTCAGATAGATGATGGCGCCGAGGCCGATGCTGAGCAGGCCGACGATGATCTGCAGAGCCTGAGAAAGAGAAAACACATGTGTGCTAACATCTGTGGAGAACTTCATGCTCCACTGGACAGCTTGAGGTCAGTGGATCAGATGTGAGCTCCAAATAAAAACCAGAAAAATGACGGATTGTTTCTCACCCCGAGCACAGACAGAGAGCTCCTCTGGATCCTCCTCAGGTGCTCGGACACCGAGCAGCACACTGGGCTGCAGCAGATGCTCCTCAGGATCTGACACAAAGGAGGCCAACGACTTCCAGGGTCAGAGGTCAGGGTGAACACGGTGACCCCATCAGCCTTGTTCATAGTCAGAGACATGCTTCCTGCTCCTGCAGGCAGACCACAGAGTGTTTAAAGACTTTAAACCTGGTAGATTTCAATAAGCTGAATATAAAACATCAGAACCAAAACTTTGCACTTGTCTCTGGTGGATCCAGGACTGGATCAGAAGACTGCCATGTCTGTCCAGTGACTGGCCTTCTTTAAAACATTTCTTTCTAAATGAACACTGTGCTTGTTTTGTTTGGAAAATAAAACATTAACAGAAAAAATATCAGTAAAACATAAACATGGCTCATAATCCAAATTAAACCCATTATACTTGTTCTGTGTGGCCATTTTGAGGGACCTAACTCATGTAAACAAAATGAGCTCCAGTAGAAAATGCATATAGTACCATATACAGCTGTGACAACATGAATCTAACTAAAGACAAAAAATAATAAACAATCCTAGAGTTTTGACATTTTTGTGATTCCATTTGTCCAGAAATCTCCTCAGAGAAAGAAATACTGAAGGAATTAGAAATTTTATTTTCACACAAACCTGGTTTCTAACATCTGACTAAACTTTATCAAAGTAACACTAAAATATGTCTGGAGATAACTGTTTATCAAATTAAATTTATTTTAAACACATATTGATAGATTGGGCTAGATGGAATAGCTATAACTTGCAGCGTTTCAAACCTAGTCCCTCAAAATGACAGCCGCAGTCAGGGACTTTTTACGTTGACGTAAGAGCTGAACAGGAAACAGCGTACGGCACGTTAGCTTCACTCTGTTTACGTAAAAAATAAATAAAAATAAATAAAAATAAAACATTAATGTTTATTTTACCTTGTTGTACCTTCGGACAGATTCGCTGCTTCTTCCGCGACTTTACTGTTAAGCGCAATGAGAGGTATCATACGGAAGCACTACAGCCTTTTCAAAATAAAACTTCCGTCTTCCACAGGAAACTTTAAAATAAAAGCAGGGGAACCCTGAAATAACTTCAATAACACTGATAACTGTTACAGATGTATGGCTTCTAAAATGGGGCAATTCAAACATTGTTGTTTCACTAAACTTGTCTGTATATTTATCATAAAGATTCTTAAAGCAGACATGTTCATGTTTGAAAGACAAGCAAGTAAAAACTGTTCAAAACAGCTCTTCCTTTCACTTTAAACCTTTTCCCCACCTTTTTCTGTTTCTTTTCTTTTGTCTTTTCCGTCTCCGTGTCCATTACATTGAAATAATCCCAAAGGAATTCCCAATAAAGTGAATTTTGAGCCTAAATTGTGACATTAATTTTCAGTAGATAGAAAATTATATTACAAAGCAGATGTATTCTATAATGACATGTGTTCACATTTTACAACATCTTTCTATTACTCTTTGTTTGTAATAATAATAATAATAATAATAATAATAATAATAATAATAAAATGTCCAGTCCTGTTTTCTGACCCGGGATCTTAAACTGAGATATTTAACTTATTTCTTCATCATTAACTTAACTCCAGGACATGGATACAGATGTTTACGGGTACAGAACAGTGAGAAGATGAAGATGATGAAAACAGCTGCCAAGTTCAAGGTTTTAAGGTTGATTTTAAAATTTCTGCTGCAGCTTCTGTTTGTGCTGCTGTGACAAAACCAACCATCACTGGAGGAATATCTCCTCTAAAATGAATATTTACATTTATTTTTAACATCAAATGAAGAAAATCAACTCAAAGTAATCAACGTGATCAGTTTTGAAGTAAAAATATAGCAGATTTATAGTCTTAAAAGTGCAACATCTGAACATGTTTGAACTTCCTCGTTTGTCAAACAGTCTTTATCAGCCCTGCTTTACTTTAGTGAGCAAACATGAAGCAGATAACTTAAACCTGAAGATAAAGACTGACCTGTTAGAACCGAAGAAAACTGTCGACACAAAAACACAAAAACCAGAGACAGGATTTGATTGTCTTCTGTTGATCTGGTTCTGTTTGGACAAAGTGAGAGGAGAAGGAGAACTGCCAGCCTGTTCCCAGAAGTTCCTCCTCTTTCTGTCAGAAAACTTAACCCTTTGTTTAAAACCTCGGCTGTTTTAAATACATAAACAAGAAAGAAATAATTTAATCACAGAAGGATTTTAACTTTTTATAGTCGTTTATTTATTAAAATTCCAGTTTGTGGAGTTTTCTTTATATTTAAGTTGAAGAACCTTCTTTTTGTTTTTGTTTTTGTTCTGGGTTTAATGTTCTGTATTTTTTCTGTTTCACTTCCTTGTATGATTTGGAGCCATCTCCTTTAGCCCTGCAGGGGTTTTAGAGGTCATTTCCACCTGAAAATACACAGCAAAATAAATCAAGAATAGCTCCACAGTTATAAGGTCTAAATGCTAACTCTTGGTACCTCTGTACAGGTAAGATCTTAAAGATAATTTCTTAAGTGAAACCACTATTGTAACTCTTACTGTGCCTGAGTTATTTGTGATTAAATAACAAAAATTGTAATTTTTTTAACTCAACAGTGTAAAACACATTGAAAACTCTGATGAAAACCCAGGAATGCCCTTAGATTTTATACAACTACATCTTGAGAAATATTGTAGCAAAGTGGGTCTGAATAAGTTGAAGTATATTCATTTCACAAAGGTTTTAGTGAGCAGTGTGCCAGGCGGAAATGGCTTTTTGGCACAATTTGGCCAAATGTACCCAAAATTGTGCCAAATGTTTTTTTACTTTGTAAAAGAGTATCTGGTCTAATAAAAGTGTTGATTTCTACAGGACTCATTCTGCATGTGACATAACCTTTTGTTTTTACATTTACACTGTGCATCATCAAAATCTACCATTGTGCACACCATGGAAACACTGGTGTGCACAACTCAGCCTCCATGTTTTACGCATGAGGGCTGTGTTTATACTCTCTGTTACGCACAAACTTCACGTCACCAAACAAAGAGTAACACAGTGTCAAGATACATCCCTGAATTTGTGAGAGATTCATTTTTTCAAAGATACCAAAGGGAGGGGTATGGAATCAAATCTTGCACAATAACAGATGCGGAGAACTTCCTGATACTGAGACGGTCTGCGACGTTCAAGTAACTTACAAATGTTTATATAGCCCTAAAATCATAAATATTTATCCAAAAATAATTTGGCGACTCATTTTAAAAACACTAAAGACACCTTTTGGACTTAGAAAAAATTGGGAAAAATGTTTTACACCTACTTTAGCAAACAACAATAAATGACACCATCTGCTGGCCCTGGGCCCGTCGGGCTGCTGTTCCTGTCAAACAGCTGCTTTCAGTTCCTGTTTACCTTTTGGATTTGTGATGTTTCTGCTGTGAATGATTAACTGCAGAGTCGCAAAGATCAGACTTATTACATGTAACGTATCTGAGGCAGAAAACAGAATATTTTAGAAATAATTTCAACCTTTTGATTGGTCTGAGGACAGCAGCTGGACCAGGAGCTCCACATGTTTCACAAACACAAACCTGAACAAAAACAGTTTTATCTTTAACCAGCGACAGATAAATATCCACAGCTGCTCCAAACCGTTCCAGTGCAATGACTCACTGCTTCTCTGGCTCTTTAATGTAAACTTTATAAATCTGAACTCTCTGCGTTCAAACGTTCAAATCTGTCAAACTGATTTTTTATCTTCTTGTAGTTTTTGAAAAAGAGGATTCATATTTTTTTACAAAAGTATTTAGAGTCAAAGAAAGGAGAGTTGAGTCTAAAGGAAAAGTTCCAGTTGCACATATTTAAGAAAATAAATCAAAGTTTTTATTTCAGTCGATCATTCCACAGCAGTCTGTTTTAAAGAATGCAAAGAAAAGATGATAAATCTAATCTTTCTGTCTTGCTGAGCAACAATCAGCTGCATATTTGCTTCAGATTGTTGACTTTGGCAGCTGCTGAAGCTGAAGAACATTTCTGCTCCTTCACTAACATCACTGTTTACATGCATTAATATGGAGAGAAATAAATACAGAAAAATAT